TGGGTGACCCTGCTGGTATTTGAAATACTGGTGGCATAGCTGCCAGCATCACAGCAACATGCAAGCCCCTACAGTATGACAAACTGACAGACATGTAGGAGGGAAGTCAATAGATAATGAATAAAAATTACATATTAAAAAAGGCAGTCTAAACCCTGAGACTTTGGCCCCCGGAAACCCTTTTAGCTTAGTAATGAAGTCACTCCCGAGCTTCACCCTTCAGCCAAAGATTAGACAGGCCATAAAATAAAACGAGACTAATGGGGCACGACAGCCCAGGACAAGGACTAGAAGGCAAGAGGGGATAGGAAAGCTGGTAATAGGGAACCCAAGGTTGAGAAGGGAGAGTATTGACATGTCATGGAGTTGTTAACCAATGTCATAAAACAATATGTGTACTAACTATTTAATGAGAAACTATTTTTTCTGTAAACCTTCATCTAGAGTACAATTTAAAAAGTTTTTAAAAAAGGCAGTCTAAGAATGTTTATTTGGGAATATGAAGACACATTTCATAAGAAACAGCTGTAAGTTTCAAGATTGTTTTCTTTCGCAGGCAAGAGTGAAGAATGAGGAGAAATGGGAGCAGTGATAGCATTTTATTACTAGTTAATTTTTTTTTACCTGTATTTATGTTGATAAAAAATTATCTTTTAAAAAAATATGTTAAATGTCAATACAATGCTTGATGTATCCGAGGAGAGAGAGATTATTTTATTCTTATATTTTTTATTTTTCTCTCCTTAGGGTCTGGAAAATATCAATACCAATGAGAAAAGATGATATAGTAAAGAATATTGTAGGAAACAAAGTGGCTTTTCAAGATTGTTTTGTTGCAGATTTTGTTTTTCTACTGACTCTTCCTGTGATGACCATACCTGAGATTCCTGGTTATTTACCACTGTCTACACCAAGTGGTAGTCAACTAATAGTTGACTGGGATGCTTGTGTTCCTTCAGCTGCTGTTGTGGTAACTGAAATGGAGACCTTTCAAACAAATGATTCATTCCTTACTTGGACAAAAATCAGAGTCCCTCCAGGCATTCTGAATGATGATGAAAGACACCATGTCACAGATATGTGCCTATCAGAGGGTAGAATATTTTTTATAATAAATGGTATACTTTACCTAAAAGATTTTCTTAAATTTACAAGACTGGGAAGAAATGAAAATCTTCCTGATGATGGAATTATTGGTATTACATCAAGAAGATGGTGTTGGGTCAACTATTTATTCAAGGTTAGTAAAAGATTATATAAATGTATATTGCACCTAAACATTTAAATATATTTACCATACCATTTATTCAGTAATATATCAGAGACTACACTGTAGAGCTTTTACACAGTTATTTTATTTAAGGCTGAAAATGGCTCTTTCTTTCAGTTGCAATATCTCTTTTTGGTTTCTTTCTAGTGTGTCTATTTTTTTTTTTTTAATCCTCATTTTGTTCATACATTGTTTCCCTTATTTTTTTAGATCTTTGTCTATGTTTTCTCTTAGTTCTTTGATTATGTTTAACATTGTTGTATTATATTCTTCCATTCTGTTCATTATTCAGACTTCCATAGATGAATTACACTCCCTTCATCATGTTCATTTGGATGGGTCATCATTTCTCTTATCTTTGTGTCTCTTGTAATTTTTTGTTGGGGCATTGGAATTTTTGAGGGTGTTAGCTTTCTGAATTCTCCCCAGTAGTTGGTGTTTTTGTCTACACTATTTTCTGTGAGAAAATCTTAGGTGGGTAGAGCCTTCAGTCTTTGCTTACCACTTCCTCTCCTTCTCTGTGATAGCTCCTTCTCCCTCCCTGATTTAATTAGGATTAGAGAGTTCCAGATCTCAGATTTCAACTTTCAGTGTTTCCTAAACACACAAGAGAACACACAGTGATCAGTCCATCCATCAGAGTGTGCAGTCACTCAGGTGAGATATCACGCACTAATCAATCTTCCTACCAGGGAGTACAGTCTCCTCTCCCCTCTGGTTATTACTCCCTCCCCTGCTCTGTTTCTGCAACCATGTTTTCAGTTAGAAAGCCCACACCCAGTGAACTCCCTGTGGGGCTGGGTGTTGCCCTCTGGTTTTGTCCAAGGCTTCCTTCCCAGCTCTGTAGTGGCTGCTAAGATCTGAGCTGGCATTCAAGGGAAGAACAGGCAGACTTCCATCCGTATCAGGAAGAGGTGGTGCTGCTGACATTTCCCATATGGACCTTCAAGGGATCTGTCTTGTTGATTATAGACACAATGGCTGCAACAATGGGTTCAAACATAGAAATGATTGTGAGGATGGTTCAGGACCGGGCAATGTTTCGTTCTGTTGTACATGGGGTCACTATGAGTCAGAACCAACTTGACGGCACCTAACAACAACAATGCCCCTGTGGTGGTTGAGGAGCAGTCTCTACTTAAGTGACCTGCTTCATAGCTCCACTGCAGGAGGCCTTCTGCAGGAGTTCATGTCAGTCCAGTAACCCACAGTTAGCTGGGTGGGAGAGGGGCTGGCGTGCTCTGAATGGACCCTCACAGAAGTCTGCCTTGTTGCCATCAGAGCCTCACTGGCAGTATGTTAGCAGTATAGGCAGTCTCCA